CCTTCAGCGTCGCCGTCGTCTTCCTTTTTAATCAATTTCCATCAGCCAACTTATTTTGCTTCTACGCAGCAGGCCGAAAGAGAGATGAAAACAAATACTGTCGTGGTTTAATCGTCTCCTTTCTCCACTTGAGCCTTAGCTCTCCGTCTCGACTCGTCCACGCTTTTTCTGCGCCTTTATTTTTCGTCCTCTTCCCCTGTATCTCCTTTACACTGCAAAGCAGTCGATTTAACATGCGCGGCTTCCCTTGATAAAAGTTAATTTGATCCTCTTCGAGATCCTGTATTTTTGACGGACAGCCGCTCCTGGCCCGGCCATCTATGCCTTGGTGACAACCTTCTCCTTTTCCTAGGAGAACAAGCAGCTAGGATAGAAACAGAAAGAATGAGGCCAGCTGCATTTCATTTTCCCCCCCGTAAAATAAGGGTGCTCTTGAGAACTAAGCCCTGATAAGTCTCCCAAACAGTACCTAGTCCAGAATCAGCAAGTAAAGAGAATTGGTCCAGCCCAGTAGCTGCTTAAAAAAGTAAATAGGTCACCAGGAGGGGACAAATTTTAAAGTACCCTCCCAGTTGATTCATCCAAACCAATACAAATAATCCTGAACCTTTTTATACCATGTGGTAATCGGGAAAAATTATTTGGAAAACAATATATTGGAAACTGGAATTTCCAAAAAAGGCTGCTGCAATCCAAACTCAAGGGATAAGGATCTTCACATTGTTGTCAATTCATGCCACTATATAAATATAGAATGATAATACTGAGATTCTATGGCACACATTAGCAACTGGCTAACTTTGTCAAGGCTGATGTGCACCAAGTTTATTAGAGGGAGACAACCAGGGAATTGAAAAAGAATCCCAGAAAAAGGGAGCGATGAACCACTTCAGTATTTTTTGCCAAGAAAACTGCATGACTGTGTCTATGTAATCTCCAGGAGTCAAGGTCCATGTAACAGGACTTTTCTTAAACTGTTTTGTGCATTTAACTTCAGTGGCTTTGTTATGCAGCAATCCTTGCAGGCTCAGGGTCTCAATATTTTTTGATGTTCTGAGATGTCAGCTGGGGCAATATAATCATTTATCTAAAATAGGAAATATTTGATAAGAAATCCATCTCAAATCCTGCTATACACGCTAAAATTATAATAGCTTTATTTAATAGTACCTGTTTTGTGTACTGTACTCTGTTGTACACATTAGAAAAACAGAGACCAAACTAGATGTATAGCATGTTATGATGGTTATTTCTTGCCTTTTTAAATTCTGCCGTGCACATGTATCCATAAATTTCTATGTATATTTACCCAGTTCAACTTCCAAATAAATGTGCACAAGACTGAATTCTTATGGTGGGATCCTGTACATGTCTTCTCAAATTAAATCCCACTGAGATCAATAGGACTTATTCTTGGTAAGTGAATATGTATAGGATTGCAACATTAATATTTTTCTGTACTCCACAAACTATTTCCTCTATTCCTTTTATGCTTTGTTGCCATTACTGTATTGCATCTTATTTTTCTCCAGTATAATTCACCATAGCCAGTGTTTATTTAGCCTGGACATAGCCACCTATTTGCAATGCCAAAACTCCCTGTAAACTCAAGTCATATGTAATTGTTCCTAAATAAATTTCTATATATGTAAAAGTTTATTTTACCCCATATTATTTAAAAATTTTAAAAGCCCCCCCCCCCCTCAAAAAAGACTGCCTAGAAACATGGAATTTTAAAATTCATTTTGGTATCATATATGTCACTAATTCTTCTGGGCATTGTTTCAAAATCTTCTCAATCTGTCAGTTCTAATCCTATGGCTATGCTCATAAAACATACTTACTTATGGTCAACTTACCTATGGTTTAACAAATTAACCCAATATTATGGAATTGAAGAATACTCAGCCATAAATTAAATTCATATGCCAAGCTCACACAACATGCTAAATCATAAAGTGATTTGTTCAGAATGCTGTGTGACCACAGTCATTAGCTGCTACTATCATGATTATCATCATCTGAAGTAAAATTAGCATGCTTTGAATACTTGAGCAAGACTATGTTTCTGCTTGTGGGTGAAATGGTTGGCCACTATGACAAAAAAAAGTTTTAAAAACTATGCATAAATACAGTATCATATTTTATTCACAATGGCATTACTATTTTCAGTATCACAGGAGTGAATGTTAATTTAACTTAATGTTATGCATTCAATGATTTTTACAGCTATTCCACAATGCCTACGTGTGGAAAAATATTTTATTTTTTCAATGAGATAGATTTAAAACTAAATGATCATGCTCCATTAGCATGATCAAAAGCCAACTCAGCCGTGATTTATGTGGACTTTGTTCCACCATTAAAGCAGAGAAGATTTATTTAATAGCCTTGGGCAAATTTATTTTTAGCTTTCGAAGGTTCTTATGTGAATAGCTGTAAATGAAAGAAGTGTGAACAGAAGTCAGTATTTTAGGTTCAGCACTAAGTTTTTGGATCCAGCAACTTATTCAGATTCTAGGTGCAATGAATTCAATAAATTTTACTCCTAGGAAATGAATGTGGAATAGCAGCTTATGTTCTTTACAATAAATTGCCTGATTTCCTTGACAGAAGTATTTTGTGAACTTAGGACTTTGGAGCACATCAAAACTTCTTATTCAGTAGTTATCCTCCCTTTCCTGTATCAAGCTTTATGTACATGGCATTGCAAACAAACTGATAAATGCTTTATGCCTTTTTCTCACTCTTTAACGTTACTTAATTTGCAAGACTTTTTTACTGTTTTGAGAAATTGTTTTCTCTTCCTCTTCATGATTTCAGGAGCCTCCATTATTGCCACTATGGAAAAGATCAACATCCAGAAATAAGTTTACATGTATTTATATAAAATTCTTAAGTTCATGTCCCCAGATATGTTCTTAAAAGTATTTCTAATGAACTACAGTAACTTCAGTTCTAATCATACAATCTCTGTAATAAAGATTCTATGTCATCACTACAATGCAGTCCTTTCCAAAGAGGTTGGTTATCTTTCTCCACATCACAAAGGGACACATCGAGATATAGTTCTTGCAATTTTGAATAAATGGCTCAGAAAGGAACAAAGCTTGGAAAATGATGGCCTGTTTCATCTATCCCTATTTACCAAAACTCTGAAAAATCATCCAAATTAGGCCAAATTTGATAATGCCTCCTTCCAGTAATTCCCATCTGCTACTGTCTCTGCCATTTATCCCTAATCTTCCACTTTATTTGGCATCAGACTTCCAAAGGTAATACAGACAAGAGTATTGGTATCTGTGAGACCCAGCTTCTCTTTATTTGCATACTCCTATTCAGACACACTCATGTGAGCTGTGATCCAGCATAACTGACTGCAAAGATGCATCATTCAGAATTCTATATTCAAAGGACATATTTATTTCACTGTCTCTTTTGCAAACACATCTCCTTTGTGGACAGCCATTAACTCAGGACAAAGAACCAAGCACCGCTATTGCTTTCTCAAACCTTGCACCTCTGATTCATCCAAAGCCAGCAACATTTCGATTTGTTCACCCAACACTTCTACATAACTATTAGAAAAGCAGAAGCCCTATTGTACTCTTTAACATGTTTAAGTCAATATTTTGTCCTTCCAAAGAAAGCTGTCAGCACTTTATAGCTGTCCCCTCCTTGCTCAAGAGATAAGGCATAATAGAGGCTCTGCTGAGTGAGGAAGAAAGCCTCAATAAAATAGAATATTCCAAAGTGGAAGGAACATTGGCCGAGATGATAGCCTTACACGTTCTGTCTGGACAAAGAAACGTCATCGAATTAGCTATTGAAAAGGCGGCTTCCAAGGCTTGCTTTCTTTCCTAAATAGGCATGGAGAAATGAAAAAACTACATATCCCAGCATCCCTCTGCAAAGCCTCGTACTGCGGAACAAATCATTTTGACGTTGATAGGAATTAAGGATTCTGGTGTGGCTGTGTGGTCGGCTTCTAGGAAGTTATGATCTAAGGAGTTAGTTTTAAGAAGATAGGATCTGGGCATAATCCTTGTCCTGCCTTCCCACGACGAAAAACGTAAGAACGTACATGACTATTAAGGCCTGTCTGAACTTTCTGGAGCAAGATAAGTCCCGGTCTTCTCAGTTTTGTTTCCTGGTTGGAGAGGGGAGGAGGAAGAGACGCACAAGAGGAGGTAAGAGAAATGAGAGCCGAGTCTACAAAAATGCTCGAGCTTGAATATGGTTGATGTGATCCGTCGGTTTCCCAATCCGGTACTGTGTTCAGGGAGAGACTTTAGTTGGAGTTATCTAACATCCCGTTTCAGTTCTCCTGCATAAAAATGGCCTTTGCCATAACGCCTTAGGCTACGAGTAAGTATTAAGCTCGAAGTATTTAAAAGCTGAAAAAGCAGCACCGAAAATAGCCCTGGGACCCTCTGCAGGTCAGCAAAGGAGACCCATGTGAGTTCCCAAATTGAGGGAGGGGGATGGTAAGAGAGGCGTTTCCGACGTAGCGCCCTCGGAAGGGCGACCAGCTTAACGTGGCCAGGGCGGGTCCAAGTTGCGAATCGGAGGCGATGTTCCTGGAGGCTTCCTGGGCGACAGATGCGAAAGACTCTTTGGATAATTTTCCGTTTCAGGTTCACTTCCCAAGATTATACGAGAAGAACGTTCTCTTTTCCATTCAAGTACTTCTCACAAGCTTGGAGAGTAAGGGCAACTCCGTAAAAAAAAAAAAATCCTTCATGGGTGAACCTAAAGTACTGTCTCAAACTATGTTGCTCTTGCTTTTCATAACAATGATCGTGTTTGACTCTTTTCATATCTTCCGTGATGCATGGAAGCATCCACATCGAGAAACAAACCAGACCCCACCTTCGAGTAAGCGTGGCTTTGCATATTCGAGGAATGGCCTAGCCACCTAACGAACGCTTCTTGCCTCCTGGGGGAATTGAGTTGAGTTGAGAGGGAGCTGTTGGGTCACGATCCCCCATTGACATTGTTATTCCATATGTTATGGTCATAATCTCGTTCATCCAACCCCAGCTGTCTTTTTTTTAATGATGTGAGACATGATCTGAATCACCTGCCGTACAAAATATTCAGGCATCATGTAAAGATACCTTAACACCCTCAAACCTGGACAGCTCAGAGAAGCTAAGGTGAGTGCAGGAGTTAGTGGACAGGTATCTTTCCCATCTCTAGAACGATGGGTCCCTGCATACAGCTATACAATAGATTTGTGGCTGGCAGCACCCTGTTATTAACACAGTGAGGAGCAGAAGAAAAAGAATACAGTAGGAGGTTTGCATTATCTCTGCCCCACCCCTTTAAGTGTGAGGCCTAATCTGCATTAGGACCACTTCTATTAGGGTTGGGAACATACTGCAGCATTTTGTTACCAGTCTTGGCTAAGTAAAGTTGATATTTTTAATTAAATGTCCATATTACAAGCAATGTTAGAGCAATTGTTAATAAGTCTTTGAAAATGGCTTTTAATTTACTAGATTTTTCAAATGCTATGTTAATATAGCATATATATATATATGGGTACATATATCAGAACTATGCTATACTTCAACATGGATATAATTTTTTTACTTTCTATTTTTCAGTAAATATAAATATGAATTTCATTTCCTTAATTTATATGCAGCCCAGCTGGGAAATACCCTCAGAGGAGTTCACATGTGTAACTTTAAGAATAACAAGCCTAAGACACAAACAAAGACAATAGAAATTGTTTTCCAAAGCTAGCAGTAAAAGACACAACTGCTAAACAGTAAATATCAGGCATCAGAGGAAGTTCTTAGCCTGGCATTTCAATATATACTATGAAGATATCAAGTAGATCTCCTTAGTGACAATTGCCACTATTTTACAGATAGTGGCAATTATAGAATCACTTGGGCAAAGAATTTCTGAATATTATCTTAACAATGGAAAGAATTATGGGAAATGGCTTTCATTCTGATAGATTGATCCTAAGCCATCTACATTTTTAAAGGTCATCACCAAAACTTTAAATTCAGCCTGCCTGGCAACCAGTAGAATTGGCACAGAATTGGCAAAATACTTAAAAAATAGTAGTAAACAGGCTAACTTTGTCTAAATATGGTTACAACTGATATATCAATGGAGGTTGATGGAAGACACTCCAAATTATTGAAACACCATCAGTTAACAGAGCTCCTCCTTATCTGGATTGTGTCCCAGTTTCCTGGCCTTCATCTAATTTAAAGCACCAATTTTTAAATAACTAGGTTAATATTAAATAATCTGATACAATCATTATTAGCTGCCTGTTATATCTATTGAGTTAAATGAAGTTTTAACTCAAGTGGAATAGGATAAATTAATAATGACAATATCTGGTTTGACCAGCAAGGCCAAAGTTTGTATAATCCTGCTCCTATCCTTAATCTCTCACACTATTATGGTGATTAATTATTTAAAAAATAATTATCCTTTATGATAGTATTTAAAATAGTCTAGTAAAATAAAAGAATGCAAATATTGCACAATAAAGAATTACAAGGTCTGGTTCTAAGAATGAAATAATTAAGCAAATGATTTAAATTTATTATAAATTAACATGATTATGTTTAAGAAATAGGTAAACTATTGGTGAGTGATTTAAATCAGTTATTTATATTGATCTTCGTCTCCAATTTAAATCAATTCACCTTGATTGCTATTGTGAGAAGTGTCTTTATTATTTTAATAACATTTTCTACTAAACAATTAGACTTACTTTTGACCATGGTTTCATTACATTTTAAATCCACAATAATTTCTTATAAAAATATAGTATTTTGATGATTTTATACATTTCCTAATTCTTGTTCTTATTTTCAATTAATTTGTGGCTAATATTTAACATACTTAGATGCGTGTGCAGTTTTTTCATGCTTAGGAATTCACTGGGTTCTTTAAAAATATTATATAATTTTAATGGAAACTTAAAATATAATTTTAAGCATCAACGATTTAAAGTAACTGTTTAGAAATAATGACAGAAAATTTCTTGAGTTCAGTACCAGTCTAAGCATGTTTAGTGAGACATTATCCTTTGCAAATAAGTTAAGGCTCTAGATTTAGATTTAAGATTTCTTCACAAGTTAGTTATTTTGGATATTTATTTGAATTTTTTTCTTTACGTGGACAAGATATATATTTTTCAAGAACATTGGGGAATGCAGCTGGAAGAGACCTTCAGAATTGACAAAAGAACGCTTGTTGTTTAAGCAAGAAAGTGCAGCTAAACAAATCAAGTCATTGAAACTTAAGAAAAGATGGCAGAGGAGAACAAGCAATCTGCTCAGAAAGGTATGGCTCATTGTCTTATATGTTGTACTTGGCTGTTCAGAACTATTGGGACACACATATCTACATTGTTAAGAAGTCCCTAGTTCAAGTCCACTGAGAGCCATGGTAGTTCACTGAGTGACTTTAGGGCAGTCAACTTTAGGGCAGTCACTATCTCTCAGTCCTACTTTTCCTTACAGGGTTGTTGTAGGGAAGAAATTGGAAAGAGTAGTATTACAGTATGTTTATTCAGCAGGAAAGGTGGGATATAAATTTAACAAACAAATAATGCTGTTAAAGATGGGAGATTTGTTACATTTAGGAAGTAGCAAGTGGTCAAGTAGAAATCTAGGCAGCTTCATCCAATGTATTTTCTGGAAACAGCACAGCAGTATGAGTACAGAGTGTGTGGTAGGTGCCTGGGTTATAAATCTGGACTTTTCTACTATGAAGTGTTCTTTTCTGTCTAAACATGAAGCAAACATGAAGCTGCAAGCTGAATGAATAATGCTTAGATCATTTATTCAGCTGGAGTCAGTAGAGTATCTAACTTGAAGTTACTGGAGAGATATAAGTGAAGTCTCTGTCTTTAAAATCCTGAGACAATTGCTTTTTTCTCAAAGTTTAAAAGGGGTCTACAACTTTGAAATTCTTGACAGATAGGCAGGATATAAATATAGAGAGAGCATTGGTTGGTAAAAACAGGGTTTTGTTTTTTTGTTTTTTTACTGATTTAAAATATTTTGTAGGCAGTCTTTGAGGCAAAAGCCTCCAGTGTGGCCTCTGAAGAATAACAAGGCTAATGTAAAAATAAAAACTATTAAAACAATAAAAGAAAGCTAGAAACTGGTGAAAAATAATAGTTTGTGGTAATTCACTGGAAGTACAGTGCTTTGCTTCCTTTATGCTGGACACGAATAGCTTCTTGAGCACATAACAACTCTGAAGCTGATAATACATAACTTAAAATTACTGAAGCCATGTTTTGTATGTTGCCCCATACAGACTTCCCTGAAGAAGGAAAAGAAGAGACTATGTCAGAGGGGCAGATGAATCTTCAGCCCCCTAATATAGAAAATATCTCAGCTGGTCCTCAAGAAGATGAGACAGAAGAAACAGAAGAGGATTATTTGGTAGAAAAGCTGTTACATTCTGATGGATTTCCACTAAGAACAGAGGCTACTGATGCTGGAGAATGCACTGTAGGGCTTCCCTTTCATTCTGATAGTTTACCTGATAGTTCTGTAGACATAAATTTGGTAAACCCTTTACATGAAAAGACTGAGTGTTCCACCCACATTGACCTCCAAGACTCTCAGAAAGAGGGAAAAAAATTAACAGAAACTGTTCCAGAAGATAAAATCAACTCACAGGGCCAGCAAAGTCAGTACTCTCTGAAACCGAAGAATCATACTGAAGAAACAAAAGAAGATGGTTTGGATAAGGAAACAGAAACAGTTCAAAATCTTAAAGGCATGGAGAAGACATATCTGATTGCAGGTAAAGCAGTATTTTATTAATAAGGAAGTACCACAGTGTGTTCTGTATTAATTTTACTAATTAAACATATTTTAACTACAGATACATAAGACAAAATGGGGTTGGCAAAACTCCCATGTCAAATTAGACAATTAGAACAAAATATTCAACATTGATCCAAGTTTCATAAACATGATTCTAGTTACTTTTTTCTAGTTACAATTAGTGCCAAGAGGTAAACTTTTATTGTTGTTGTTCTTCAGATGAGAACTTTGCTAAGAGTGGTAAGCCTTAAACCATAATAGATTGTTAAAAATCCCACTTTTTCAGTATAAGTTGAAAGGAAAGACTTGGTGTCTGATAGTCCTTTCATACTAGCTTGATTGAGAATCCAGTCTAGTTCTATACACTTATTTTTCAGATGTTTGTCTGCAACTAGGGACTGTGAAATCTTCATTTAAAAATGGTATTTTAATAGAGGCTTTGCAGTCCAGGAAATGTCTAAAGAACTTCTTTGTCTATACAATTGGAGTATCGTAAAACATCACAATACTTCATTCGCCTCTGCTGTTTTGATGGAATTTTCTATCTTGGGCTTTTATCTGTTGCATTTCTACAGAAGATAGTAAGACTGAGGCACTATGACATAGTTTGCTAAGGTGTGATTTGCTAAATAAATGATGATGATTGGGTTTACACACAAACTAAGGGCAAAACCAAACATACTATAGAATGGTTTGGTATGATGTTTCAACTTGAGCATAGAATGGCCACAAGACATGAGAGGGTTGAACTATCGGTGAACTTTCTTTTTAGCTGATTACTTACAGATTGGTGCAACTTTCTCAGCTTTGACTCCTCAGTTGTTGGACTGTAATTTCCATCACTCATAGCCATATGACATGCTAGCCAGGAATTCTGGGACCAATGGTTGAAAAAGCCTGCTATACTGGTTGGTAAAATTGTATAATTCATACATTTTTTATAACCGGACAGGTTGCTTCTTGTAACAGTGCTATGCTTTTTTTTAAAAGATGTACAACATACTACATGCCAATCAGTGACTGAAATCTATTCTCAAAAGACAAGTGAGTGTCTTACACCAGAAGTAAATGAGCAGAGCACAGTGGAACAACTGGTAATAAACAATTCCCAGTCTCATCAAGACAATGGTGAGAAAACTCTTGATTTTTACAAAGCTGATCAAATAAGCCATACAGTGATCATTAAATTCAAGACCTGATAATATCATTTGTAGTAACCAGAGCTATTTATTTCTACACTTATTTTACTGTGTAAAACAAAGGCTAAACCAAGTAAAATGAAAAAAAAATCAATGATCTTGCTGTATCTTTTCCTGCAGTGCCAATATGTGCAGGATCCCTAGCACTAATCCAGCTCCAACACACAGATGGCCATATATATACCTGCAAAAAGTAATGTGTACACAGTCCTGACTTTGTTCCCATAATCAGCCCAGAAATACTTAAGATAGAAAATGACAACTGCCCTAAATATTATGGGCCTTCTCAGTAGCTGCTTCAAGCCCCTATGATTCCCTCCAGGGAGGGCAACATCAGACAAAAGATGTTTTCATTCAGATAAACTGTAGAGGTCAGGCTGCCTTATTTTCTGGCAGAGGTTTCAACTGGTGATGCTGGTTTTATTTCCATAATTCATGTAGCTTTAAAGGTATTTTATTTCTTTAAATGGAAAAGAAATTAGTAGTATAAATGTTAATTATGATGGTAGTACTGTTAGCTGATTTAAGTGTTGTTTTTGATGGGAATGGGGAATATAAATTTCAGGATACAACCAATGCTGAAAAACAAATCTGTGGGTTTTCTTGAGCAACTGTGTTCCAGTTTCAAGACATTCCATATTTCCCTATGTAATTTAATGTAATTTAATCTAAAATCCCATATGGCAAAATAAACTAGCCACAAAGTAATCTATATAGAAATAAGCATAAACATATTGAACTTTTCTAGTAAGCATCACTTGGAAAGTCCGTTGTCCGGAGCATTCTACTTACATAAAAACATTGGTGGTGGGGAAGACAGAATAGTGAGAAGGGAATATATTAGGTTGTGTTCTGCAAGCGTTGGAGAATATAAGTTTTTCCTCATGGGAAAAACTCTCTTAAGCCAAACAAAATATATTAATGCTATAAGGGGGAATTGAACCTGAACTGTCTATCAAGTAGTGGTAGACCTGATGCCTGGGGGTGGGAATTAGTTGCCACCATTGTTCCAGTACTGACCCCTTGTCTTTGAGATATGCGATAATTGATTAATTCCATTAGTAATACATTACCATAAGCCTGTTGGCATGTGGATTTTGTGTGTGTGTGTGATGTTTTCTGAATTATTTTCTCTATGTTTTCACTCTCCCTTCCCTACTCTTATTATTAGGATTTCTCCACTATGGAATTTTTCTGGGAATCATGGTCCTTTTGGTTGCTATTTTCATAAGTTGCAGTGGTTACTACACTTCACACCCTCCAAGTATGCCAAAAAATCCAGTGGTGGAGGCCTTCCTATCAAGGTTTGATCCACTGAAAGACAGCTTCCCAGGTCAGAGTCCTCACCTGTGGGGACGGGTACGGAAAATATTGCAGAAACACCTTAATGCATCCTACCACACTGAACCAGCTATCTTAATCTTTACTGCTGCCCAGGAAGCTAAATCAACTCTGAAGTGTCTGAGCACCCAGATTGCCAGTGCCTATTCATCATCCCTTGGAGGTAGCACAGTACATGTAGATGGAACTTCTAAATCCACTCTGAGCAATGATCATGCAAAGCTGGCAGTTGATGAAGAGCTGAGCTTTGGTTTCCATGGAGGAGGAAAGGCAGCAGTAGTACATCAGTTTGAATCACTGCCTGCAAGTTCCACCTTAATCTTTTACAAATATTGTGACCATGAGAGTGCTGCTTTCAAAGATGTGGCACTGATTTTGACAGTTTTGCTGGAGAATGAGAAGTTGGATCCTAGCATTGGCCTACAGATTGTGGAAGAAAATGTGCGGGACTTCCTCTGGGCCAAATTCACAAACTCTGATTTACCTGGATCTTACAACCTTATGGATACGGATAAGCTAAGTGGGCTCTGGAGTCGCATATCCCACTTAGTCCTGCCTGTTTGCCCTGTGCCATTTATAGAAGATAATGGCTGCTCTCAGCAAGTGGCAAATATGGAAGACTTCACTTTTAAGAACTAAAGAAAAAAGAGGAACCCAGCTTTAAACCCTCCCTCCCCAGCCCTCTGAAGGATTTGCACAAATCAGATTTTTTTTTTTTGATTGCCCGAGAGGACTAAAGGTATTAACAAGCTATTTTTAAATCAATTATGCATTGTGATGTTGGTTTTGATTATGACTTTCATAACCAGAGAAGTTACTGAATTGATTTTGTTGTTGAGTTGGCATTTGTGATGCAATTTAATGCAATATTTTTAAAGATGGATAACTAGTATAATTTGCACATTTATATATCCAGAATAAGTTTGCCATTGGAGGAAAATGGAAACAGTACAATTTTTTAATATGGAAGGCAATTTCCTCAATGTAGAAAAAAATGCTAATGTACAGGTTGGATAGCTTAACCTAGAACTCATGAGTGGCATGTGAGCATTTTAGTAGTTTACGTGAACTCCTCCTCCAAGCAAACACTGCAGAGTTTAGCATATTTGCACAAGATCTCCTTATACTAGTTCAGTCAACTTACTGAAAATTAGATGCTGATATTAAGGCTAATTGCAAAATAAACCAGATCTGATTTTCTTAATTTGTGCAGTTAATATATTGAATTTATTAAAAAAAATTTTTTAATATAGATTCCACTTGGATTGAGGTGTCAAATAAATTAAATGCATTATATTTATGCCTATAAGGGATATTTCCAAAATGGTATATAATGTGATATAGCATTCTGTATATAAAGAAGCTATTGTGTATTACATCTCTTCTCAATTTCAGTGATTTAAATTTGTGATGTAAACTGCAATTCCTTCCAAAGATACAACATAAATATCCTAGTGGGAACAGAAGAAGATGCCTCTTGCTCAGTCAGTATAACATTTCATCTAATTTAGTATTTTTGCAGTGGCTGGTTAGGACTCTTAGACTTACCTGGATATGTTGGCACGGAAGGTGGCTGAGAATTCTTAGAACTGCTATTGTAAAACATTTGGAGGGTGTCTGGTTGGAAAAGCTACCTTAGAATGACATAGGTATAATTCAGTTCTAGTCATAAATTGGGACTGTCTAATTAGTGACTACAAAGTTCACAGATTTAGAAGAATTATTTAGTCAAAGTTGCTTCACTGAAGTGATGCTGGGTTAACAAGTATATGGGTGTCCTATTTAGATGTCTGTAAAGAATTGACAGCATAAACATATGGTAAGAGAATAGATAGAAATTATTTTCATTTTATTTAACTTTATTACAGATGAAATATAAAAAATTGGAATCTTCCTTTGCAAACCTTGCTAGACATATTTACATACTTTGATTGTCATGTGGATTGTAACTCTCACATCTCCATCTACCTTTAGTAAATGTTTCTCCTGAACAAACATATTGGATCTACAGTATTTTCATGTGAAGATCATGTTGTTTTTAGCACAGATCGGTACTGGGTAGAGCTCTTCAGATTCCAGTTAAGTAAATTGATGAGCAATGTGAAAGCAGGACAACTCATGTGAGCTCCTGTTGATGTTGGTTTGTGCTGAAATTAAAACTTCTGTTCTCAAATTTATAGGACCACAAAAAGCTGGAAGAAGGCAGTGACAAACCACTTCTATATTGTTGCCAAAAAGCCTGCATGAACAGGTCTGTGTAGTTACCAGGAGTAAAGCTCAATTCAAGGCAGTCTTTATCTTTTTAATAAACAAGCAGACAATAATAATAAACCACTGTACACAATGTAGAAATTGCATCTAAGATAGTCATGTGTTAGACCCACTGAAATCAGCAAGACTGAAGTTGGTCATTGCTGCCCTGTCTCATTGGTTTCACTGGAACTAAAGTGGGATGTGGTTCAAGTCTAATGTAGCAGATAGGAAATAAGTAAGCAAGTGTAGATCCATCATAACAACGTTATTTTTATTTTTTAAAATTTATTTATCCAATTTATATAGCCACCCATCTCACTTTTACAAGCAACTTTGGGTGGCTTACAACAACATTCTTCAATGTGTATGGTGAAAAACTCATCATTCCCTATCCAAGATTATTCAAAATATATTCTGCCAGTTGTTTTCTAATGTGTGGTTTTGGTTGGAGAATTACCATCACTTTTTAATCTGCCTGAACTATTGAAAGGCAAATTAGCCAAGATTTGTTGAAAGATTGAAAGCCAGAGAAGCTCATACAATGGCAGAATAGTTACTGGAGAGTTTTTTGGTTTTTTTTAAGGTCAATCTAATCAAATCACCTACAGGCTAAGCCACATATGGAGAAACCATTAATGGATTAGATGACTAACTTGGAAAGGGTTTGACATGGGTGGTCCAGCAAATTATCCATGCTACAAAATTAAAGTCCTTTAGTGACATGTGTCTTTTAAAAGGCATCTTTGATAGAACTGACTGCATGCCATTCATGAATTGTATGGCTTAATATTAACAGCTGCTAGGATACATTCCCTTTAAAAACATTGGGACAATAGGAAGAAAAAGCTTCATGAGCCCTGTCTGAGAGAGATGGGATCCTGTACCCTCTTAACCTGGGAATAAACTCACTGGGTTTTATTTTTGTGTAGACATATACATAGTTTTGCTCTTAGGAAATTTAAAAAATCTCTAGGTTGGAAAAGAAAATAAATCTTCAGCTAGGTGTTTTAGCTCTTTGCATTGTACGAATACTCTCATCTTATGGTTGGATAACGGGAGATTATAGGAGTTGTAATCCAAAACATCTGGAAGGCACCTGATTGGGAAGGCTGATGTATCATTGTAATAAGTCTGAATTCCTACCTCACTTTGTTGCTGTTAGTATGTTTAGAAAGGCTGGATTTGAAACAATCGAATGCCCTCTAGTGGTTGCATTATGGCAAACGTACATGTCTTTGTGTAACTTTGTGGACTAGACCTGTATTTTTCCCATGGGTGGATTATGGATATTTTCCATGGTTGGTAGTGCATTGATGTCTTTTAATGTGTTATATCTTTAAAATGTGAAGCTCGCATCTCAATTAAGTGGCTTTCATTCATTCATTGCATTTATATATTGCCAAATCATCACAGAACTCCTGTCTGTTAACAGTAGCATGAGAACATCCATTATAAGGTTAAAATCCTCCAGTTATATTAAAATGTCATGATACATACACAAAATAAATTATCACAAATCATATAAACAGCAATAACAACAACAGATTTCCCAACTATCAAAAAAATCAAAACTGGGTCTCTACTCTCTCCCAGCAGTCTCTGGATGAGCTTTGTATTAATTAGCTTCCAGAACCTTAAAAGAAGCATAAGCACAGCTTCCAGCTATTTCACAAAACTGTGATAGAGAAGTGGTACTTCCTAGTCTCAGCTCTCTCCATATCCCATGGAGGCCAATTTAAAATTTGTCCCAGGATGTTCAAGGGATGGGTCAATTCCAACTGGAGAAAGTACCCAGGTCCCTTTATAGGTCAAAAACAACAGTTTGGGTTCAACTGGAATCCTGTTGGTAACCAATGCAGAATCTATAGTACAGGTGTAACACAATCCTAGCAAACAGCGCCACATGATAGTTAGGATGCTGAATTCTGCATCAATTGTGATTTCTTAGTGGTCTTCAAAGACAGCCCCATATACAGCACATAGTAATCCAGGAGAATAAAGATGTGGGCATGAATTACCTTTGAAATATTCTTACACTCCTGGTATGGCTGCAACTGATACACCAGCTGGAGCTGGGCAGATGCTCTGGCCACCCAGCAATAGCCATGAGTCAAAGAGGATCCCCAAGTCTCAGATTTGTTCCCTCTCCCCCAAGAAACAATATTGGAGCTGACTGAATCTGGACGGACAGACAACAGCTTGGTCTTGCTGTGGTTCAAATTAAGCCCATTTTGTCCCATCCAGACCCCTATAGCCTCCAAACACTGAGTCAGTATTTCCGTGGTATTGCCATCACTGCCTTTGGTGGCAATGTTACCTTGATATCATTATTGTAGCATAACAATAATACTGTATCCTAGATTGTCAGATAACCTCCCAGGAGCTTTGTGGGGTTCCTTTGTAGAACTGTGAAGACGTGGCTTTTCTCCCATATGTTAGATCAAGATGGTAGATGATCTTGTTCTGTTATGAGAGTATTTGCTAAACCCAGCTTTGCCTATGTGTTGAACCTTTTTGGTTATATTGGTTCTGTATTGTATTTTTTACTTTATTGATGTACACTACCAATGGGTGGAGGGAGATGGCCTTGTAATTTTTTAGATTTATAAAAAAATTATAAATCTATGGCTGGCTGGGGAATTCTGGGAGTTGTAAGTCCACAATCTTAAAGTTGCCAAGGTTGAGAAACACTACTCTAAGATATGTGGCAGAATGCACTACAGATCTGGTTTTCTGTCCTACCTGGAGAGAAAACAGTGAAGGGAGCAGCTATTTCAGTAGAGCTGTTTTAGTCTGAACTCAACCTGTTTCAACTGTTTTACATAAGATTTTAACTGTTTATGTAAGATGTTAATTTTTTGTTTTGTTGTTAGCTGCCGAGTTCCTTAGAGGCATAAACATAGAATATAAACAATAAAAACAAACAACTTTTGTCTGCTGGAGTTTCTTCAGGGGTTTTCAAAGCAACAGGGCTGTTATAGATCCTTTACCCACCTCTCTTTTTCTAAAGAGAATTGGCTGAAGCAAGGGCTGGGTGGCATCTCTGCTAATAATTGATAAGTGAAAAGTAATTAGGCAAAATTAATTAAGTAATGCCAGTGGAGTCAAAACAGGAAAGATTCTTGGTTTCCTATTTAGTGAGACAACTCAAAGAACTGAAAATAATTGTTCAATTCATGATTGTTGCAAGGTGGCTATAGCACAATATTGGAAAAATTCAGAGCCTCCATCATTAGATCTCTGGGAGAAAAAAAATATGGAAAATTGTTCTTATGGAAAAATTGACGTATAAAAGATGGGAGGTGTTGGGATATATCTGAAAAGTTATCCTTTTTGCAAAACATAATAGGCCACATTCTTTCTGTTTACCCCAGTATATACAAAAGATGTTGGACTCTTGATTTGTTCTTAGATTGTTTTAATGTATTTGCCTTTAAATAAAGATTTGGGGGGGGGGAATGGTTCTTGGTTTCTATTTTGCCCCAAGGCTAAACCTTATAACCATGTTATCTAAAAGATCATAAGTAATGTCTGCTAATACCTTAAAAGTCAGAGGAATGTCTATATAACATTTCCAGAGATTAAGGCATCTCAGTGTTTTTGCTTCTCCTCCTTTGTGGCTACCAACTCAAACTGCAACATCCAGCATGGTAAATACTGCAGAATACACTAACCGATACAAGAAAGATCATGCCATTTTGCTTTCACAGTTTGTATAATGTAAGAAGGGTACAAAATTCAGCCTTTTTTGCTGAAGCAATTAAATTGCTTGGATACTTTTTTTTTTTAAAGCACACATAAGTCTCACCCCGGTGACTGATTTTTGTTCTTTTCAACTGCCTATTTGCAATACTGAAATTGGCCTCTCCTTGCTCTAGTAAAAAATAGTAAGTAAAATAAGAGCAGGAAATGAGAGAAGAAAAGGAAATCTAGTTAAATATAGTTTATACCAACACTGTTTACTATATAACTCCATACCATTTTATCCTCATAAACTGTACATCCTTCCACCATATCCATACATCAATTAATACACTGCCATTTGTTATTTAAAATTCTCACCTCTTTTTGAGGATTTCATCAGCTCCATCCAACCATTACTTTCTTGATCTTCTCTTTCCTCACAGTCCATTTACTCTTCCTTCCTACATTTGTTTTGTAATGTTTTCTATATATAATCACATAACATCACTATATATCTTTTGTACTGGGATTTCCTTCATTCATAGTGTTGCACATTTATGGTTCTTTCATTATCACCATTCACTGGCGTATAACATTCAATTATCACCACTTTCAGAGTCCTACTTTCATATGTACTTATAACAATCTAGATCAATGATTCTCAACCTTTTTGAAGCTGCCGCCCCCCTAAGGAGCGGAAAATTTTTCAATGCCCCCCTTTGTGAAAATCCTATAATTTAGGGTATGGGGGGGG